CGGGAAACAAGCACAGACTGGTGGGACAGCATCGTGTTGCAGGTGTGGGATGATTCCCAGTGGCTGCGAAACTTTCACATGCGTAAGGGCACTTTCATGGAACTTTGTGACTTGCTTTCCTCTGCCCTGAAGCGCCAGAATACCAGGATGAGAGCAGCCCTCACAGCTGAGAAGCGAGTGGCGATAGCCCTGTGGAAGTTTGCAACGCCAGACAGCTACCGGTCAGTCGGGAATCAATTTGGAGTGGGCAAATCTACTGTGGGGGCTGCTGTGATCCAAGTAGCCAACGCAATCAAAGACCTGCTGATATCAAGGGTAGTGACTCTGGGAAACGTGCAGGTCATAGTGGATGGCTTTGCTGCAATGGGATTCCCAAACTGTGGTGCGGCGATAGACGGAACCCATATCCCTATCTTGTCACCGGAGCACTAAGTCACCGAGTACATAAACCGCAAGGGGTGCTTTGCAATGCTGCTGCAAGCCCTGGTGGATCACAAGGGACGTTTCACTAACATCAACGTGGGATGGCCGGGAAAGGTACATGATGCTCATGTCTTCAGGAACTCTGGTCCGTTTCGAAAGCTGGAGGAAGGGACTTTCTTCCCGGACCAGAAAATAACCGTTGGGGATGTTGAAATGCCTATCGTTATCCTTGGGGACCCAGTCTACCCCTTAAAGCCATGGCTCATGAAGCCATACACAGGCAGCCTGGACAGTAGTCAGGACCTGTTCAACTGTAGGCTGAGCAAGTGCTGAATGGTGGTAGGATGTGCATTTGGACGTTTAAAAGTGCGCTGGTGCAGTTTACTGACACGGATAGACCTCAGCGAAGCCAATATTCCAATTGTTATTGCTGCTTGCTGTGCGCTCCACAATATCTGTGAGAGTAAGGGGGAGACATTTATGGTGGGGTGGGAGGTTGAGGCAAATCGCCTGGCCGCTGATTACGCGCATCCAGACACCAGGGCAGTTAGAATAGTACAGCAGGGCGCGGTGCGCATCAGAGAAGCTTTGAAAACCAGTTTTGTGACTGGCCAGGCTACGGTGTGAAACTTCTGTTTGTTTCTCCTTGATGAACCCTTCCCCCCTCCCCCCCCCGCCCCGGTTCACTCTACTTCCCTGTAAACTAACCACCCTCCCCTCCCCCCTTCGAGCACCGCTTGCAGAGGCAATAAAGTCATTGTTACTTCACATTCATGCATTCTTTATTAATTCATCACACAACTAGGGGGATAACTGCCAAGGTAGCCCGGGAGGGGTGGAGGAGGAGTGAAGGAAAAGGAGACACTGCAGTTTAAAACTTTAACACTTATTGAAGGCCAGCCTTCCGATGCTCAGGCAATCATCTGGGGTGGAGTGACTGGGTGGCCGGAGGCCCCCCCACTGTGTTCTTGGGCGTCTGGGTGAGGAGGCTATGGAACTTGGGGAGGAGGGCTGTTGGTTACACAGGGGCTGTAGCTGCGGTCTCTGCTCCTGCTGCCTTTCCTGCAGCTCAACCATACGCTGGAGCATATCAGTTTGATGCTCCAGCATCTGGAGCATCGACTCTTGCCTTCTGTCAGCAAGCTGACGCCACCTATCCTCTTCAGCCTGCCACTTGCTCTCTTCAGCCCGCGATTCAACCCGCCACCTCTCCTCTCGTTCATATTGTGCTTTTTCGCACTCTGACATTGACTGTCTCCACGCATTCTGCTGTGCTCTGTCAGCATGGGAGGACATCTGGAGCTCCGAGAACATATCATCCCGAGTCCGCCGTTTTTTCCTTCTAATCTTCACTAGCCTCTGCGAAGGAGAAACATTTGCAGCTGGTGGAGGAGAAGGGAGAGGTGGTTAAAAAAGACACATTTTAGAGAACAATGGGTACGCTCTTTCATCTTAAATTTTGCTGTTCACATTACACAGCACGTGCTTTCGTTACAAGGTCGCATTTTTCCTCTTATATTGAGGGCCTGCCGGTTGGGTGTGTGAGATCACTCACGCAGTGCCAGGCAACAGAATTCGTCTTGCAGGCAGCCATGGTAAGCCACAGTCTTTTGGTTTTTTTAACCTTCATAAATGTGGGAATGGTTTCAAACAGCAGCGCCCTCATTTCCCATACTAAGCAACAACCCGTTGGGTTGGCCATTTAAAATGGGTTTGCAATGTAAAATGAGGGGCTGCGGTTTCCGGGTCAACATGCAGCACAAACCCAACTACCCCTCTCCTCCCCCCCCCCCCCACACACACACCACCCAATTCTCTGGGATGATCACTTCCTCCCTCCCCCCCACCGCGTGGCTAACAGCAGGGAACATTTCTGTTCAGCCGAGCAGGAACGGGCACCTCTGAATGTCCCTTTAATAAAATCATCCCATTTCAACCAGGTGACCGTGAATGATATCACTCTCCTGAGGATAACAGAGAGATAAGGAATGGATGTTGTCTGCATGCCAGCAAACACCGGAACCATACGCTGCCATGCTTTGTTATGCAATGATTCCAGACTATGTGCTACTGGCCTGGCGTGGTAAAGTGTCCTACCATGGCAGACGGGATAAGGCAGCCCTCCCCAGAAACCTTTTGCAAAGGCTTTGGGAGTACATGAAGGAGAGCTTTCTGGAGATGTCCCTGGAGGATTTCCGCTCCATCCCCATACACATTAACAGACTTTCCCAGTAGCTGTACTGGCTGCGATTGCCAGGGCAAATTAATCATTAATCATTAAACACGCTTGCTTTTAAACCATGTGTAATATTTACAAAGGTACACTCACCAGAGGTCCCTTGTGGGACTGGGAGCACGCCTTGGGTGAGTTCGGGGGTTACGGGTTCCAGGTCCAGGGTGATAAACATATCCTGGCTGTTGGGGAAACCGGTTTCTCCACTTCCTTGCTGTGAGCTATCTTCATTGTCTTCATCATCATCATCTTCCTCGTACCCTGAACCCGCTTTCCTGTGGTGTGATTCTCCATTGATGGAGTCAAAGCACACGGTTGGGGTAGTGGTGGCTGCACCCCCTAGCATGACATGCAGCTCCGCGTAGATGCGGCATGTTTGCGGCTCTGTCCCGGACCTTCCATTTGCCTCTCTGGCTTTGTGGTAGGCTTGCCTTAGCTCCTTAATTTTCACGCGGCACTGTCATGCGTTCCTGTTATGTGCATCTTTGAGACTTTTTCTAATATTTTGCCATTTCGTTTACTGCTACGGAGTTCAGCTAGCACTGATTCGTCTCCCCATATGGCGAGCAGATCCCGTACCTCCCGTTCGGTCCATGCTGGAGCTCTTTTGCGATCCTGGGACTCCATCATGGTTACCTGTGCTGATGAGCTCTGCATGGTCACCTGTGCTCTCCATGCTGAACAAACAGGAAATGAAATTCAAAAGTTCGCGGGGCTTTTCCTGTCTACCTGGTCAGTGCATCTGAGTTGAGAGTGCTGTCCAGAGCGGTCACAATGAATCACTGTGGGATAGCTCCTGGAGGCCAATAACGTCGAATTCCATCCACACTACCCCAAATCCAACCCGCAAAGGCCAATTTCAGCGCTAATCCCCTCGTCGGAGGTGGAGTAAAGAAACCGGTTTAAAGGGCCCTTTAAGTCGAAAAAAAGGGCTTCGTCATGTGGACGTGTCCAGACTTAATTCGATTTAACGCTGCTAAATTCAACCTAAACTCGTAGTGTAGACCAGGCCTGACTGCACTGGGACTACTTGCACATGAGTGAAGTCTACTCACATACACGAAGGATGAAAGAATTGGGTCCTGTGTCCCAAACCATTTCACAGCCATAACTAATAAATCTTTTCTGCTTGCTTGCAATACCATTCTATGAAAAACTGCTCCATGCTTCATCTCCTTTTTTTGCCAGCTCAAATTATTTTTGTTCTGTTTCCATCGTACAGTGCTTTACCTCCACAACCATTGTCCTGTGAGCCTCAAAGCCCAGGCCTGTTTTTCATAAAAGTGGCCTTTCAAGACATCTGTTACAATTTAAAAAAGTACTTTTGATTTTAAGCCCTCGATAATGGGGCCAATTTCTGCCACAGAAAGAAGTAGAAGTATCTTAAATAGCAGAACAGAGTAAAGGAGATTGGATAAAGCTCTTAAGACTGGTCTCGTAAATAGCAGAACAGCCAGAAGTAATGCAATGCTTAGAGACGGTTTAAGGTTTTTTGGAGTAGAGCAGGGGCGGGCAAAGTTTTTGGCCTAAGGGCCACATCGGGTTTCGTAAATTGTATGGAGGGCCGGTTAGGGGAGGGGGTCGTGGCCCGGCCCCAACCTCCTATCTGCCCCCCATCCAACCCCCCCCGTTCCCTGATGGCCACTCTGGGACCCCTGTCCCATTCACATACCTCCACTCCCTGTACCCTGACCGCCCCCGGACCCCCACCGCCCCATCCAACCCCTCCTCTCATTCCTGACGGCCCCCCGGGGCCCCTGCTCCATCCAACCACTCCTTCTCCCTGTCTCCTGACTGCCCCCTGCCGCCCCATCCAACCCCCCCTCCTTCCTGACCGCCCTCCCCCAGACCCCTGCCTCCATTCAACCCCCTGTCCTGTCCCCCCGACCGCCCTGCCCCCTATCCACACCCCTGCCCCCTGATTACCCCCCGAACTCCCCTGTCCTCTATCCATCCCCCCCCTGCTCTGTGCCCCCTTACCGAGTTGTCTGGAGCACCGGTGGCTGGCGGCGCTACAGCCGCGCTGCCTGGCTGGAGCTGGGCCACGCCACTGCCACCGTGCAGTACAGAGCACTGGGTCAGGCCGGGCTCTGCAGCTGCGCTGCCCCAGGAGCTCACAGCCCTGCCGCCCAGAGCATTGCGCTGGTAGCAGAGCGAGCGAGCTGAGGCTACAGGGGAGGGGAAACAGCGGGGGAGGGGCTGGGGCTAGCCTCCTGGGCCAGGAGTTCGGGGGCCGGGGAGGATGGTCCCGCTGGCCGTAGTTTGCTCACCTCTGGAGTAGAGTCTGAAAATTGATATATTGGTTCTGTTTCAACATTATTGTTTCTTTCTTTTTTTTTTAAGTATTTCTCAAAATGCAGAGAAGAACCACTCCATGGAAGATCTAAGCAACTCTGTTATCACAGAAGAATTAAAAAAGGCTAATAGCCTTCCCAGTTTGGCTCCTGGACGCAAAACAGCAGATCGTGACAGACAACCCAAAGAAGGCTTTTTCCAGTTCCTTGGAAGCTTATTTAATATTGGATCAAAATCTTCTTTGGGAGAATCTAAACAGTCTACCCTCCGAGATGGACACAACAGACCTGGAAAGGATTTGCATAACCCAACTGCCTTTCAGGAAGATGGGATCACAAAGCATCGGAAAACTGAAATATTTGTCATTTCTACTGCTGGAACAGAAGAGGTAGCAGTGCCTAAAGAAGAGCCTACCTTGGTTAATATCAGGGAGGTTGGCGCTCAGGATTTACATAGAGGACAAGAACAAGCTGCTGATGCACTAATGTAAGTTCTAAAATTTGAATACTTAATTTTAATATTAAAAATGTCTAATGGCTGCAGTGACTAGCTCTGCCATACGTTTGGTAGATGTCCCATATCTGCAGACCTATGACAGTCTGGGGTGCAATTCAGACCAGTGAGGGGTTGTGTCACCACCTGCCATGCAACTTTGGGTGCCTCACAATATTTTGCTGCAGTAGCTCCCACCTGGGCCACTCACAAACAGCATGCAGGTCACACCCTAAGTGTCTGTATAGCTGCAGTCTGCCAGCCATACATCAGTCACACTCTGGCTTCTAGCAGCCTTGGTTACTACTTGCAGGGTGACCCCAACACACTCCCAGTCCCGGATTTTCTCACAAAAACATGTGTTCTGCACTGTCGAGCCCACTCCTGGATAGTCCAGATATATTTGGTAAGATGTTCCTCTAAAGGAATCAAAATACAAGTCTTCTACCTTAAATGGAATTACCCAAACATTTCACAACACTGGATTAATTGTAATTAAAGAATAAAACAAGTTTATTTAATGCCTTATACTTGTACACACTTAAAATCTCTCTCTTTGTAGTTAAAGTCAAATAGTTACAAGAGAAATAAAGATAAAACACTTTCTGAACTTAACAAAGTAGACTTGGTCAAGGTGAAGTTCTTACCACAGGATCACAGTAACATTGCTGACCAAATTCTCAGGTCAGGATCTGCTCCCAAAGTCTAAAGTTTGTTTGTTTTGTTTTCTTAAGTGAAGAGAGAGAGAGAGATGGATAGGGGGAGAGAACATGGGGTGTTTTTGTCCCTCGCTTTCATAGTTCAGTCACCCTTTGAAATGTATTTTCCTGTGCGTTACCCCTTAGATAAAGTTAATGCCTGCTGTGAGGACAGAGACAAGGAGTCTGGTGGAGAAACAGGCTGCACACTGTTTCTTCTCACCTCTGTTTTGCTGAAATGCAGATTTTCCTTGCCTCCTGTCTTCTTCCCCCTCGCTGTCTGAGGATCCTGTTTAAAACTTGTATGTAAATTGGGGTAAATTCACATTCCTTTGCTTAAGGAAGACCTGTTAACCAGTTCTGCCTAATCAATGGGTTCGAACATGTGCCTAATTGGTGAGTTCGAACATATGCCTCCAAAGTAGGAGGGGACATTTTCTCCAAGTATTAGAACAGTAGGGTAAGGGCTAGAGGGATCAGATAGTCCTGAAACACATTCAGCATTTCATGGGGGTGGAAGAAGGGAGGAATGAATTTATTTCTTTCCATCGCTTTATTTAGGCAATAACTATCAGGTTTTTGTGTGGCCTTTTTATGTAGCATATTAATTTTAATATTTTTTCTGTACATATGTTCTTTTTTTTTTTTTGCAAATAAGGATCCTAGATTTTAAAAATTTTCCATAGTCATCTGCCTTGGTTATTTTCTATAATAACTTCTGTACTTTTTGGTTTCCTTTATTCTTCAGAATTGTTTTGTAATCTTTAAAAGTTTATATAAAAATAGGTATTTAGCCTAAATTTGGTACATGTTACATTTCCAAAGGTACAGAAAGTGCAGTATGTTTCTACTCTGCATTTAGCAGCTAGAAAATAAAGTAAAGTAGAACCACAGAGTTACAAACACCACAACTGCAAACCGACCAGTCAACCACATACTTCATATGGAACCGGAAGTACACAATCAGGCAGCAGCAGAGACCCAAAAAAAAAGCAAATACAGTACCCTACTGCGTTAAACGTAAACTACTACAAAACAAAGGGAAAGCAGCATTTTTCTTCCGCATAGTAAAGTTTCAAGCAGTATTAAGTCAATGTTCAGTTGTAAACTTTTGAAAGAACAACCATAACATTTTGTTCAGAGTTATGAACAACCTCCATTCCCGAGGTATTCGTAACTCTGGGTACGTCCAGACTACCCGCTGGATAGCGATCGATCTATCGGGGATCGATATATCGCATCTCGTCTAGACGCGATATATCGATCCCTGAATGTGCTCCCATCGACTCCGGAACTCCACCAGGGCGAGCAGCGGTAGCAGAGTCGACGGGGAGCCCCGGCCGTCGATCCCGTGCCGTGAGGATGGGAGGTAAGTCGAAATAAGATACGTCGACTTCAGCTACGTTATTCACGTAGCTGAAGTTGCGTATCTTACATCGACCCCTCCCCCCAGTGTAGACCAGGCCTCTGAGGTTCTACTGTAGTGGATGTTGTCTACATTCTGTATTACAAAGTTCGTATTATGTCCCTTGTAATGGGACAGATTGTGCTATCTGGGTAACATCTGTGATTGACAGCGGGGTGTGTGCGCGTGCATGTACAATATATGGGGAGGGGAGCTGTATATGTGTGAAACAAATGCAGTGTATCATTTTAAATAACTAGCTTCTGGTTAATATCTAGCATGTGAAATCACCCACAGAGAAGGACCCTGTTTTTGGTCTTGACCCTAGGATTTCCAACATTTTTCTTGTAGCCCTCTGCACATTTATCTGACATTTTGATTAGGATATGCTGATTGGGGTATCTGTAGCAGTTCTTTTGCAACTTTATTTTTGTTGGCAACGTGAGGGGGAAATAACACCTAGGGCTTTAAGAATGAAAGGGGGGACTTAACTTACTTCTTTTTTTTTTTTTTACTTATTGCATTAAGTATATTCACCTAGTGTGTAATGTTTCAATTCCACTTGGGAAATTGGGATCTTTCTTAATAACATTTTGATACCTGCTTACAAGAATTGCTTCTATATTGAATCACTTCTGGGATATTACTCTTGTTGTCATTTATCTGTAGCTTTGACAGGCAGTCTTCTAACTACAAATGCTGAGGATGTGGCATCTGTGCAAATGTCCCTATGCTGTAGAGACTGAGATCGTGGTAATCAGGGCTCAAAAATAATTCTTGAAACCTACTAGAGTGAGGCTGAGGCAACTGCCAGTCTAGAACCTGTATTGCCATCACAAGGCTCTACCCTCTGCAGTTTAAACAAATAACAGTTGTATACTCTTTAGCCTGAGTTGTATTTAATTGTAACACAGTCAGCCAACTTTTACTCAGATGGTTTATTATGGTAGAGCACAAAAAATGCAAGGCTCTTTCAAGACAGAAGATACAGCCCATGCCCTAAAAAGTATACAATCTGTTTAATGCACTTTACACCTTTTACCTTTTTTAGAATTTAACTTGCTTTCCCTGCTCTTCAGTGAGCTCTTGAAGCGTACCTGCTGAATATATTATTTGCTGAATAATATATTCGCCTCATAGTTTCTGACTAGCCCTCAAACAAATGTATCAAATATTAAATATTCCCCAAATACTGTTTGACAGGCCTCCTTACTACACCACTCTCTTGCTGCAGCTGCTATTCTTCATTTTTTAATTATTTACCACTTGTCTTGTGGTGGCTCCTTAGGGGCGCAAGCAGGTTGGGCTCCATTGTGCCAGGTGCTGTGCAAATATGATGGATTCCAATCCCTGCCCCAAAGACCTAATCTAAAAAGATAATGGCAATAACAGGTCTACGCCCTTCCTGGCTCCATTCCACTTTTTCTCTTCTATAGTAGATCATGTGTATCTTTCCCTGCATTTTCTTCAGTGGTTCCTATTTTTCCTTCTATTCCTCCCACATTCCTCACCCTACTTATTACCTCTTTCACTTTCCCAGCAATGTGTTCTCTGCCTCTTCCCCTGTCCCTACCATCCCCATTTCTTCCTCCAAAAATCTCTATGTATATTCTCCTCTACTTCTGTTTCCTAATTTAGCTCTCAATCTCTCCTGCCCACTCACCCCTGCCCTCTAACCAGGGCTGGCTCCAAGCACCAGCTTAAAAAGCAGGTGCTTGGGGCGGCCAAGGGAGAGGGGCGGCACCAGCGGCAATTCGGGGGCAGCAGGTCCCTCACTCCCTCTAGGAGCGAAGGACCTGCCGCTGAACTACCACTGCCGCCGCCGCCGATCGCGGCTTTTTTTTTTTTCCCCCAATTGCCGCCGGCGATCGCGGCTTTTTTGTTTTGTTTTGTTTTGTTGTTTTTTGTTTTGCTTGGGGCGGCAGAAATGCTGGAGCTGGCCCTGCCTCTAACATGTGAATCTTGGAAATGTAACCAGACATCTAATATCCAGTAGAATAAAGATACAGGCCACAGACAATACCAGAAACAGGATAGTGGGAAGTAGGCTCTTGTCCAGGAGCAGCATGTGAGAAGCCATCCTTTCTTTCTTTCTTTCTTTCTTTCTTTCTCTTTCTCTCTTTTTCTGCTACCTTCCCCCTTCCCCAGCCTCCTGAGTGCTGTGCTGACATGATACATATCCACTCCTCTACCCCACCTCCTGCTTTCTAGGTACTGCAAGGTGAGTGTCTTTGGTAGGTTTAGCTTCTGATTTTCTAGGTGTTCCTGCACCGTTGTCATCCCTTATCTTTCCAAGAAGCAGAGTGAATTTTACTTGATTTTTGTCTGTTTGCCTGATGCCCACAGGATTATAAAAAGCAAAGGTGAAAACTGAAAAAAACAGGTTACTTTTGACACTGCAGCAGTGTGTGCAAACTCTGAGCACCGGTAGCTGAGATGCTGGAGCCATCTGTCTGCAGACTAAAGTTGGAAGCTGAAAATTCCAGCTCCAGAAGACATACCCATGCTAGCTCTGAGATATCATGCTAAAATTGAAATGTAGCTACAGTGGCGCAGGCTGCGTGCCCTGAATGTGTACCTATGGTCTCTTACAGGACCTTACTCGGGGAAGCTGGCCCCTCGCCCCACTGCTCACGCTTCAATTCCATTTTTAGTGTTCTAGCGCTAGTGTGGATGTATGCTTCATTCATATTTGGAGGTTCATATTTTCATTCATATTTTCTTCACAACTGATGGGGGCTTTTAATGGAAGCTTACATGCTGCAGAACTTGATGGCACTTACTCATGAAAGCTTCCTACTCCCTATAGTTGAGTAGGTTCTTAAGCCCAGTTGCTGATGGTGAAATCAAACTTGCAGGGAGTATTAGGGTCAATCTTATATATAACCTTC